AATCGAAAATAAAAGAAGAATGTTAGATACAGTAATTAACAAGAGAATCCACTAAATAGTCCAAGTGATTTAGTTGCATCGTTTAATTCAAATGGCAGCGAAGAATTTAATTTTACCGTGCTTAATTATTAATTTAATATTCTATCGTTCATAAAATAATTAAAAATATATATTATTTTAAGTAATCTTTATGTTAATAAAACTTTTTATACAATAGTTACACGCTGTGAAGCACTAAATAGCCATCTCGCAGTGTTTATTTTGGCTGCATAATTTCTAGAAAAATTTATTGATATTATATTACATTTTCTAACTGTTTTGGAAATGATTAATATTAATAGTTCTAATTTTACAATAGAATTATTGTTATTAGTACGAATATAAAGTTCACTAGTGACTACTATTAGTTTAGAGATTGATTCAATAATAGATTTATCCACAAAATAATTTTTGAATATTCATTAAAAGTAGTTATATTAAGAGAAACATTTTTCAAAATTAATTTCAAAACATAATTCTTATCTAAATTACATACAAGATAGGATGTATATTTATAAAATAAAGTAGGTACTAGTTTTCATAACATGACCCAGTTTTTCGTAAATGACATCTGAATTTTTTAGAAATTATTTTCTATTGCTTGTTTCACTTTTTATTCTCACGTTTTGTAGCAATTCACGTTTTCTACCACTTTCACTAATGACTGTATAATGTAAACCATTTCTCATGCTGAAAAGTGATTACTCGTAAATATAACAACGGCATAATTGTAAATAATTGGATTAATTGCTATAAAATTCACGTGATACAAGATTTGAGAAATGGACCTACTCGTTTTATTTTCAGGTAATAATGAATTATATATATATATAACAAAAAATGTAAATGTTAATAACGAATAACATCTTTATTAAATTCAATCGAGATGACACATCTCTATCTCCCCTCCCCTTAACCACCAAAATTTAATAGCATCAGTGCTTATAAACAAGCTACCATGCCAAATTTCGTTTCTTATAGACTCCAACACATATTTAGGTTACACGAAAGATTTTCTCTATTTTTATTTATTTATTTATTTTGAAGTTTTTTGGGTTCAGGATGTCTCAAAACGAAGAGATTTGCAAAAATCTCGGAGATCAAATTTGATACGATTTCAATACTTTCCCTTGTTATTTATACATAACAACCGGAAAAATAAAATTAAAAATGTTTAGAAATGCATTTAAGCTATTGCTATAGAATATTTTTCTTGTTTACAAACGCTTAAATAAAGGGTTTATTTATTTTCAAATTAAAAAAACTAAGTAGGATCATTTTGACCAGTACCATCTCAGTTAAGTGATAAGCAGTAGCGTAGCGTAGGGGGGGCGGAAGGGGCGGCCCGCCCCGGGCGGCACTTTTTAGGGAGAGACAAAATTACGTTTTAGGGGGCGGCAAAATTTGACAATAAATAATAATAATATCTTGTAAGAATTTGAACCATTTTAGTTCATATTTTTGTCCACCTACAATTCGGACCGATTGAAATGAACACGTAATAGTGGGAATCCGACTCGCCGTCCGGGTATATCGTGCGCGATCTGTCGACTTTTTTTTTTCTTGTACGATTAATTCGTACTCATATACATCTTCTGTATCCAATAGGGCTAAGTCATCTACATTACTTGCATTACTCCTAACCAAGTCTCCCTAGTCGCTAACTGTAACTGATTTAGAACCAGCATGCACTGCAAATTATTCTTCATTGCAAAATGATATACTCATGCGTCAGGAACTTCTGTTCGAACAAACCTCACCTGCCGTCAGGGTCGGCGATTTTAAAAAAGTGGCAACACTAGCACGGAATTTTTCATTACTTATTCTGTGACGAAACTGAATTTTAGTCTTTTAAATTGAGATACCTAAATAAGGAGGAGACGAAATTTTCCTCCGCCCCTGGCGGCTGACACCCACGCTACGCCACTGGGGATAAGTCTTACGAGTTAGATAGGCAGGCCACAAAATATCTTGTTTATTTCATATAAAAAGTAGGCTCATTTTTATCATTTATAAGTTATATCAAATATGTTCAGGGATTGGATTTGCCATAGGCTGTAGTTTGGGTACCACTAGTCTAATCACCAAGAACCCAACAATTAGTTCGTTTTCTTACTTCTTGTTTTATTATCAAAACAGGATATGTTTTGATAATATTATCCTGTACAATATATAATAATACAGTATATATAGGATATTACGTTTTTTTTTAGTTAGTAATTTTTTCATGTTGAAGCTAGTTAGCTAATTAGTTCAGAATCTACTTTAACCTCTTTTAGATCCAAAGAAATTTCCTCTATTCAATTCACCACCCATTGTAATACAAATTAGGTAGAAAATGGCTATAGATTGATTACGTTGCGGTTGGGCAATAGCTACATGGCTATTTCCCACGACAGATTAGCAGATGGAGCAGTGGTCCTTCCTAGAATTGATAGTATTTTGTATATTCGATAAAAAAAAGTCTTTAATGTACTGTAGATACATAAATTAAACATTTTTTTATTTTTGAATTTGCGCGAGGCAGTCACTACTGTTGTTGATACCGTTGTTTTTGATGTCCGAATTTGCTAAAAGGAGATTCTGATCTTTTGGAAGATAATGCATTCATCCAATGTATGGAAGAGGTTATCAGTTTTTGAAAGACAGTAGTTACAGTTATCTTGACTAGCTTTTTTCCGTTTATGCAGGATGTGATTGGTAAGAAGAGAATTGGAACGAACTCTGTTGATAATAATGTATATGTCCGGCCGGATGGCCAAGCGGTCAAGGTGGCAGCCTACCGCTCTGGGGGACCCGGGTTCGAATACGAATGGGTCGAAAATTCCCAGAAATTTTTCGGGGAGTGGATATGTCGAGCTGCCGGGTGGTGAGGGATGGCCTCACCACCCGCAGCCCCATTGTGGGCCTGACCGAACCCATAATGGGTTTGCAAAAAGAGGTCCTCTTAGTGCCCACAGGGAGGAAAGAGTTAAAAAAAAAAAATGTATCTGTCCAGATGTTCGTAATTGGGGTCGGTGCTTTTTTCTAGCCATGGATATGTTTTCCCTTTTATGGTAGGAAATCCATATTTATTTCATTTTTTTCTTTCACGTTGTTTTTACGATAGTGAGAAAATCTGGGGAGATGATGTTTGTTTTATTGGTTGTGCATGGTTTGCTCTTAAGTAGCTTGTCTGCTTTTTCATTGATAGTGATGCCTACATGCCTGGGAATCCATATGATGATGCTGGTGGAAAGCTTTTGATTCTAGGGGACAGCTGCAAGAATATTGGTAACTATGGAATGGGTGGATTTATTCTATGAATTCATGCTCTTTAAGATGGCCTTTGATTCCGCGCAGATGATGATCTGTTTGTTTAAATTTACCGCATAGGAGATTGCTTGAAAGATGGCATAATCCTCAAACGTGAAGATGCACGTTTTGGGATGGAGGGTGAAGTGTGTAGAGGTGTTATTCTTAATGTCCATGCAGGTCGCGGGATGTGGACTCATTATATCAAGAGTATATTTTCGAAATCTCCCTAACGGTTTTTGATAAAATGATTTACTAAAAGAAACAATAATAAAAAAAAACCATAATTGATTTTAATATTGTGTAAATTAATAAACAGTAGAATAAAGAGTAATTTTTTTTTTAAATATCGATTTTAATAAATATTAAAATTAAAAACTTTGACACACAGGTGTCGCTAGCAATCAACGACTGGAAGCAATTTGAAAAGTATATTATTAGGAAATTTTTATATATAAAATTCCCAATTATTTTCAGTAAAGGGTTATAATGGAGGAGAGCGAAACAGGTTAGTTACAATCTTAGACTTATTGATAATGAATAAGATATAATTACTAACTCTTAAAAGTAAAGATATTTCTTTCAATCACGTCCATTTGCTTGGTTATTATTAAATTATATAATAATAAAGATTCATAATAAATGTTTTCAAGTCAAGATGTATATAATTAAAGATTATTATTGGTTATTGAGAAATTGAAAAATCAAAGTAATATGAGTCAAATCACTAATCATAAACTAGTGAGTGATCAAAGTGGACATACACTTAATGATAAGATAAAACAGAGAAAAGAGAAGAATATACATAGAGAGAAACAGTATTGATTATGCAATTAAATAATGCAAAGAAGAATGTATTGCGGTAGTCTAAAAATAGATGTTGATTAGTTTTTAGATCTGCGAGTTTGGAAGAAAATTGCAAAAATTCAAAAGTAAGGCTCTGAATTGATGAATTTGAAAGTTATTGTGAGAAAACAATGCATCTAGAAACGAATAATGGTTGAGTAACTAAATGAAACTGATATGTCAATAGGTGATGGGTAGGATTATCTTAATGAAGTAGTCTAAATGATATACTGTGTCATCCAAAGATTGTCAAAATATTAATTATATTTGTATATAATATGCAATAGTGGGATACGAAATGATCTGAACTATTTGCTGTATAATTGCCCGACGGATGATGTAGAGTTAAATGTTATTTTTAAATTATAGTATTTAATAAACTATAATTTCATATTACAGAGCTTTAACTAAAAAATTATATGGTGCATAAGTATGACTTGATATTTGTTTCAATTATTCTGTAATTGATAAGTCTATTATTTATTGTAAATGTTTGATGTAGTCAAATATAACTTGGATATAGATAATTATTTTGATGTTTGAAGCAATCGATGCTGTAATGTTGTAAATGACATTTTTCTCTAAATATGTTTTATTCTAAACTTGATGTTTTCTGTCGTAAAAAAAATATTGTGGCGATATTGACACTTTAAATGGCTATATTTTGAAGTTGAATTTATGTGAAGTCATAATGTTTAAAGTGTCAAAATGCAATAAACACTATTGTGCATGTGTCAAATTCATAAATATTTGTAAAGAAGCTGATGAGGGACTGTAGGTTCGAAATGCATACTTTTTTGGAAAATTGATGTTCCAAGGCTGATCTTGTGTCCAGAGATGGTGTAACAAGTCTAGGAATAAAGAGGCTGATATGTTGTTACTGTGGTAGTGGAGCAATGTAATCGTGGAAAAATGTAGAAAAAATAAACAAAAAGTTAGATATCTTTTCTGGAGACCAATATTTTTACTTGTAATTATTATTTAATTTAANATATTTGAAGCCCTCCCAAATTTACAAAATTAGATTACAAATTTTATTTAAGATAGAAGAAACTACGTGTTCGGTCCTAAGGTCAGAGTTCACTTCTTAGAATGACTGCGGGTGGTACTCTCCCCTACCCGACTTCGGTGGGGTGAGGTGGCTGTTTTGCCTGCTTGTAGAAGAAGGTCGCCATTTTGGATTTTATTTTGCCTCGATTCTCGATTGCCTGACTACCTACGAGTCTGGATTTTTTTATGTGCAAATGATTTGGGCACCTAATACTCTGTGCCAAATATCAACTCTCTACATGTACTCCTTCATACCTCTATGCTGATAAAAACATGAGACAGTACGATTTTATAAACAAGACATCAAATATCTTTATTAGTTGAGTCGACTCAACTAATAAAGATATTTGATGGAAAACTTGCCATGTGTCTTTGGAATACAACATAATATTAGTGTTTACTACGCCAGAATTTATTTTTTTCTTAATTTGTTTTAATTTTAAATTAATTTACGATGTAAATTTGTCTTATGCGTGATGTGAGAGTTGTCTGTGCCATAGCAGTTTAAATAAATATTATGAATATCGCCTTATGAAAGAAATTAAATAAATATTGACTTGTGAAAGAAATATTGTTTTTTTTTTCACTGTTATTGTTCCTCATCCATACTAGTACTATGCTATAGATTTTACACAAGAGTGAACTGGGTTGTGAGAATATAAAATATGATCCTGAAATGTGTGCTATATCTCCATAACCTAAAATTAAGAGGCCGGATAGCCGAGCGGCCAAGGTGGCAGCCTACCGCTCTGGGGACCCGGGATCAAATCCGGACAGTTCAAGGAATTTTTCGGGGGTGGTCCGTTCTGATATGTCGGGCCCTGTCCCTCACCACCCTGTCGCCCCATTGTGGACATGGCCGAACCCATAAAGGGCCTGCTATAAGAGGCCCTCTTAGTGCCCACAAGGCGGGAAAAGTAAAAAAAAACCCTAAAATTAGAGATTCTATCGACAGTGGGGAGGGAAAAAAACGTCAACAGCTTGCGATACGTCTGAATTAACAAGAGTCAAGTTAACTCTCCATTTACCGTCGTTATTGTTTATCATCCATAGTATTACTACACTAATCTTTCGGAGGTCTGAGTTATTAATAATGTGAAAAATGTACGTTATCAGTTTAGTCTCTACTAGGGTTTCTCATTTCCCGGTATTTTGTTTGTCCCGGGATCCCGGGATAAAAGTGAACTGTTTCCCGGGATCCCGGGAAATCCCGGGATAGAATTAATTATTTTTAAGGTATACAAAATATCTTGAAATCAAATGATATAATTATTTTCCATTTTTTAAAGTAATTTTAAAGTTTTGTAACCTCCAAAATCATATTAATAATGCTGTGTTAGGTCTATAGGCCTATAATAAAAATTACCTTTAAATAACGTAGAAATTTTCACAAATAGAAAAAAATTAATTAAAGTTTGCTGGAAACTGCATACAACAACAACAAAAAAAATGTTTTGAATTGAGTTAAAAATTAAAAAAATGAACTTCTAATTTAGAAGGTAATTTTCGTTTTTTAAATAAAATATAATACAAAATATTGCAAACTTTTATAAGATTTTAAAAAGCAAAGATGGTCAATACTCCGATAACTCACTCTAATTCTTATTTTAGTAATGAAAAGTCTTGCCACCG